ACATATTTGCACTGAATGTTTGCATAATTGCAATGTGTGTTTCAATTTGCAATTACAATTTAGTTTTAAACAAAACTTTTTTCTCATTTTGTTGTTAACAGGCATTTTTGATGACAACTCATAACCACATAAGCGCTTCGTGTTTATCGATTAATTTTGTGAATTTATAATTAGTTTGTTAACGGAAAACACTGAACTTTAGACACGTGTTTATACCCACTTAGCGTTCTGTACTTAGATAACTAGCTAACATAGCATTTGATACGGTTTCTTATAGTGCAGTTCTCTAACCTAGGCAAAATGTACAGAGACAAGCAGACTATGGATTTCAATGAATACGGTATTTGATTACTAGTAGTATGAATAATATTACAGTTAGTGAACCTCTTATAGTAAAGTAGAAATTTACTGATATTATTGAAATGCGTTCAAGATTTCAAATACAATTACCGGCATAAATATGTTGTATATTTATAAAACCAAAATGAGTAATGTTAAAATATTTTGTATACTTTTTTAGTTTACATTGTAAACTTTACAATAAGAGGTATTTTAATGAATTATACAGTAATCATAGAAATATACTGTACAGACATGTAAACGTACGGTATATTAAAAAATATAATAAACATAAACTAAATTTCTTAATGAATATTCTGAATTCCCGCATATATTCAGTGACAGTAATCATAAACCAATGTATAATATTTGGCGCAACGAATATCAAACGGGTGTCAAATGACACACAATTCAAGTCATTGGGCGACAAGAGGTTCACCATCGGATGCGACCTACTGATGACTGACCTGCGGGTGAACGTGAACTTTGACGCCAAACTTGGTTTCCCGAAGTATCGACTGCACCCACAGCTCAAGACCTGCTGTGTGTCCATCAATTCATTCGTGTTTAACATTGAGTTCATACTGAATATCAAACAGCAGTCCATTCGCGTGAATCGGGTCTCACTGGTGAACAAAGACCGGATCCGATGCGTGTCCACGGGTTTCATATGGCCTATCAATAAGACCGTCGAGACACTGATCCGCAAGAATGTCGAGCTCTTTATCACCGATAATCAGTCGGAACTGGAGTTTAGGGCCAAACAGGCGATCAATGAGCTGTTTTCGCCCACATTTGCCGAACTCTTTGATGATAACTCTCTGGTCGTCGACAAGAACTTCAAGTCTATTATACAGCGACTGAAGTGCTGATCACATATTGAATGCAATATTATTTTTATTAATTTTTTAAATAGTTTTTTAATTAACTCATTATGTATTCGAGATAAACATTCCGTTGATATGTATGCGTGAGTTCATAAGTATTATCAAGTTGTCATATCATTTGGTTTGATCATGTTTAAAACTCATTTATTTTTATGTTTGAAATTTGTATTTTTAACACTCGTTTTATAATAAGTTATTATTAACAACATTGCAACTGATGTGCCATAAGATTACAGAATTTATGCAATTGTATGCAATAAAAGTCGTTTGACTCAACACAGCTCAATAATCACTCAATAAATAAATAAGATATTCATTCAGGGTTAGTTTTACAATTTTTAAGTTTATTTAGATTTTCGAAAACTTTTATATCAATTACAGCGCAAAACGAGTAAAATTAATAGCAATTAAAACATTACAAATACATTACATTCAAGTAATTAAGAAAATTGGCTTAAAATTGCATTTTTGTTCATTAATAGCCAAATAAATACAATTCAATTAATGCCTAAAAAATAGGAAACAATTAGTGTTATAATAATAGGTATAATTGTTTTTGTAAATAAAACAATAGGAATAGACTGTAGGCATAGCTGCACATCTAATAAATGATTACATGGATTAACAAGTAGTGGATTAATGGATAATCCGGTTCACAGTTAAGGGCACACTAGAGAGGTATAGAAAAGTCCCCGAAATCTACACAAAATATTTACCAAAAAAGCCTTTTGATTGCAATTACAGTATTAAGAAAACAGTTGAAGACTACAAGAAAGTCATTATAATATAAATTAAATGATTAATAAATAATTATATTAATTATGAGAATATAAAACACAATAAAATATATTCAACGCTATATTCAATTCAATTCAAACAAATGGCTAATTAATTGGCATTTTGTGTCCGTCTGGGGGGTCAGCAATCGATTGCTAATGAAATTATCGACTAATTTGTTATAATTACAGTATAATTATAAACAGGTTTTGATTAATAAGTATTGATAGAGAGATAATTGCCTAAAAAAAGTAATTCAAAACAAAATCAGAGTTTTTGTGTGAATACGTGTTTGACATTTACAGTAGAAATGTAGAGATTTTTGTTGAGTTTGACTTTCATTTTACACAATATTTTACATCAAAAGCTCTCATTAATTATGAATTAATTACAAATTGAGTTATTGGTTGCGTTTAATATTTGTTTTGTTGTGTCAATAGATTTGTCAATCATTTTCATTCACTTTAAAAAAGTCTTGATATTTGAGATTAAAAGTGATTTTCTTATATAATTGAGTCTTTAAAAGACTATTTTGTAATTGAGTTTTGAATTCAAGAATTTGTTTTGAATTTTGAGTTTTTATAAAACATTTAAANGAGAGAGAGAGAGAGCTATAAATAGTAAATGAACTAAATCTAGTAAAAGTGCACTCAATAATTGATTCATTATAATTAGCAAAATCACTACAAACTCAAGACAAGCCCTAAACCTAACGATCATGGCGTGGTGACCGAATACGTGGGAACCGTTGCCCTCGACATACCGGGTATATCGAAGCGACTGATGGCGAGGGCGTACATCTCAGCCAATCCGTGTTCCTTCGTCTGGAGCCGTTGCAGTCGTTTCAGACATTCGGTGATATAAAGTGTCAAATATATGAGAACTCTGTCGGCGTTGGACTGGATCTCAAACGTCTTGAAGAACACGTTGGGCTTGAAGTACAGCAATGACTCGTCGATGATATCCATGTCGTGGCCGTTGAGTTGTGTGGTGTCTCCTCCCGGTGCCGACATTATGGGTCCCCGGAATTTGGTCCGGAAGGGCAGTAACGCTATGTTTGCCACCGATTTGGTGGGCACTAGCTTTGAGTGATACGACGGCATTGGACTACCGGTGCTGTCGACTCTTCGCGTGGACTACCGGTGCGATTGGTGTGCGAGTTGTGGCCACCAGTGCTGTCGATACACTATTTGTGTTGACTACCAGTGCTCGATATGGGTGTGCGAGTTGGCTACCGGTGCAGCACTTCGGCGGTCGATGTGCAACACGTGTGCGAGACTACCGGTGCTGTTGTCGGTGTCAATGGCCGGTCAATGCGGTCGACACTACCGGTGCGGTCGCAGACACAGCGGTTGACAGCGAAATGAACGTCAAACTATCGCCAACTACCCGTCCCAATGAGCGCCTGTCCCGCACTGGCACTCAACGCATACCCGTCCCCTACGGTGGCAATGGTTTGGACACTAATTGACACTAATTTTGGACACAATTAACGCTAAATACAAATGAATTGTAATTCACTTTTCGTCCATATTTTCACTGCTCTATTGTGTTGTGTTTGCCGTTTCCCATAGAAACCAGTGTTAGTGTCAATGAACTGTATCTTATGAAAAGGTATGAGAAGTTCGTGGGATTTATAGTGGGATTTAGATGGAAGTGAATGGAGGCTAATTTGGGCCCTTTTATGATAAAAATAAAGTCGAGAAAAGTTTGGAAAGTTGTGGAAAAGTCTGGTACTGTCCAGACATAACGTAACAGTATTTTCGAGAAGTTTGTGGAAAACTGTTTGCGAATATAAATACAGGAATTGAATGCAAAACTCAACACAAGTTTCACTGGAAATCAGTTCTCAATAAAAAACTTTTGAAAACTTTTCTAAAGTTATTTTTCTCAAAGTTTTTGTGCGTTTACAGCAAAACCTGCGGTACAGTAAAGATGATGTTCTTAATGCCATCGATGGACGAGTTGTGGACACAAGAAATGGAGACAATGTTTGGTCGGAAGAGAGCGTTGAAGCGCTTGAATGGACACAAATGTGAAGACCAGAGGTTGTCGTCGGAACCAAAACGAGTCAAAAGTGATGTCTTTAGCGTTAAACTCAATGTCAAACACTTTACGGCCGATGAGATCACCGTAAAAGTGGTCGGAAGTGATCTGATTGTCACCGGAAAGCACGACGAAAGGGAGGATAAGAACGCCGGTGGGTATGTGAGCCGTCAGTTCACACGAAGGTATGCCATACCAGTGGACACGGATGTGAAGGCAATGGCGTCGAGTTTGGCGTTCAATGGATTGCTTGTCATCTCAGCGCCGGTGAAGACATCACCACAAGAGAGAGTGATTGCCGTCAAAGTTGTGGACAAACACAGCGAAGAAAACGACAGCACCGGTAGTGATGAGACGATTACCACAACTATTACTGCAGTCGAGGACACCGGCGATGGGGAACGGGAGGCGTCGACCAAACAATAGTTGACTTTATGTTTATTACTGTCAAAACATTCGCATATTTATCACTCATTTATTAAACACTTGCTAAACATGTAACCAAACATTTATAATTGCATGTATGAGTTCATACTATTTGTATACAGTATTAAGTGTTAATAAAAGTTCATTCATTTGATTGTGCAAAATATTTGATTACCTGTAATACAATAATTAGTGTTAAATGAGTTTGAAATTGTGTACACATTAATAAATAATGATTAATTATTGCTAATTTAATAGTTTAAACATTTAAGTTTTGGTAAGTTTGCGACGGCTTTCTCAATATGGGCTCCATTTCCTAATAAAGTCAGTTCTAAGGTCTCAATGAGTGGTAAATGTGTGTGAATTGAGTCAAAGAATGTCTCATTTAATTGGGAGTAATCTAACATTAAGTACAAATGTGTTAATCGTTTCAATGGAGACAATGATTTCGATGTCAATTCAATGCTCTTTTCATGATTTGGATGTGTAGTCAGTATTAAGTCGAGACGTCTTAAGCGTTTCATACGATTCACAGATTCATACAATTGTCTCACTTGTGGTTCAGTTACATACCTTAGATTAATTCGATATCTCTTGAGTTGTGGCCATTGATTGACAAACTCGTCGCAGTGATAGTCGACAATCGACTGAATAGTGTCCGGATTATTGAAGCATTTGATTTCAATCCTCAGTTCTCGTAATGTTTTCATTTGTGTTATCAGTTTTAATACACGAATACATTCTTCGGCAGAAATTACTTGAAAATATAAATTAATAGACTTTAAGCTATTCTTATAGTAATCAACAAATGCTCGCAATCGCTGCCAATCAGAGTCGGTATAAATGAAGTGAAATTCTGTCAAATTCTTGACTAATATCTCGTTATTTTCGGTGATAATTGTTGACAGTAGACAGCCTCCGGTAAAACCAGATAATTGTCTCAGTTTTGTCAAAGACTTTGAATATTTTGTAAGCACTTCACAACCCGATTGTGGGACCGATATAGCAGTCAATTGTGAGCCATATTTACACACAATTCTGTCCATTATTTTCAAATCAATTCCGAAACAAAATTCGACTTCAATTGCATTCAACGAGTGTTTGTATGAATTGATGAGTATTTCAAACACTCTTTCAGTCGCTTCGGAATCAATGAAAATACAAACGGATGTAATGTTTGCACACTTTCTGATCACTGATAGCAATGGTTCCCAATTGACGTATTCAACGCCTTTCCCTCTAGTAATACGCCATTTGTCTAAGAAATTGGTCATTTGGAAGTGCTCTCGAGATTTGAATGACAATCGCTGCCACTGTTTGGACAGACATTCAAATCGGAAACAGTCTTCAACTGACAGATAAGACAACACGAGTCCACACAAGTCATCACCGAATCGGTCGAAGGAGTCCTTCGGATATTCCTCTTGAGTGCCATTCGTGTCATTCGTCGACACCTTTGTCTGAAATACAGATAATGTAATCAATGACTGAATGCGTAAACATTTGTTTAATAGAGAGATAGCTATGAGGTATGAGAGGGTGTATAGAGTGGACACATAATCACTAAAACATACCTTTTTTGTTGCCATTTGTCCACAACTTCTTGAGTCCATGTCTTCAGTGGTCACACATTTGACACATTGTTTGTCATTAAATGCAAACAAACATAACATTGGATTTGTGGACATAAATGATGTGACAATACGTGTGAGTATTATATGAGGGTTTGTATCACTAATGCATGCATTCACTCATAAAAGGGGACAACATTTACAACACAATATTTTCGGTCATTTATAACTAAACTTTGCGCTAATATTTCAAATAATTGCGGCAAAAATAAAATATTATATTTAATATAAATACTTTAAATGAATTTGCAATTAATATACTGTAAACACTATCATTACAATTGTAATTAAAATTATTATTAAATAAATGTTACATACTAAATTATACTGTCCAGAATTCATTCATTAAAATTGCAATATTTTATTTAGTCTTACAGTATTATAAGTTTGAAAGTAATATAAACACAAAATTAGTTAAAATGATATGAAACTACTGTGAGAATTTAATTTTTGAACATAAAATCCACGTATTATGGAAAAGTATTGCTTATGGTTTATTTGCATTCATTAGAAATATTGTTTAAGCAATTGTGTGACAAATCTTAAGTTTCTATAACTTTAACAACAAAATTATTGTTAAGACATTAATACGGTGTTTATTATTACTGTAATACAGTCATTTATTAGCAATATTTACTTCAAAACTATTTATTGAATTCAAAACATTTAAGTTTTGGCAACTTTTTGACGGATTCCTCAATACCGGCGCTCAGTTCTATAATAGCATTCATTTTAAACGACTGAATGTGTGGTAATTGTGTGTCAATAGAAGCAAAGAATCTGTCACTCAATAAACAATTCTTTAAATCCAGCGATAAATGTGTTAATCGTTTCAATGGAGACAATGATTTTGGCGACAAATCAATGGTTTTATAGGTATCCGAAAGTGTAATCAGTGTTAACTCCAGTCTTTGTAATCGTTTCACATGATTCACAGATTCATACAATTGTATCAATTGTTCGTCAGTTTCACAATACATATCCAAATGATATCTCTTAAGTTGTGGCCATTGTTTGACAAACTCTTTGCAGTGATAATCAACGATAGACTCAATATTGTTATTATCGCCTAACATTAGACTTATATCAATCCTTAGTTCTCGTAATGCTTTCATTTGTGGCAATAGTTTCAATACACGAATATATTCTTCGGAAGACTTTTTAATAATGAAAGCAAATGATAAACACTTTAAAGAATTCTTATAGTAATCAACAAATGCTGTCAATCGCTGCCAATCAGAGTCCATGTAATGGAACCTAATTTGAGTCAAATTCTTGACTAATATCTCATTGTTTTCGGTGACAATCGCTGACAATAAACTTTCTCCGATTGAATGTCCGGACAAATGTTGAAGTTTTGTCAATGAATTTGAATGTGATTTAAACACTCGGTAAGCAAACATCGGCACTGATATAGCAGTCAATTGTGAGCCATATTTACACACAATTCTGTCCATTATTTTGTCATCGATTCCGAAACTAAATCTGACGTCAATTGCAATTAATGAGTGTTTGTATGAATTCATGAGTACTTCAAACACTTTTTCAGTCACTATTGAGTTGATCTCAATATCAATGGATCTAAGGTTTGCAAACTTTCTGATCACTGATACTAAAGACTTCCATTCATTAGCAGAAATGGTCTCATAATAACTGGTCACCCATTTCTTGGGCACTACATCACCAACAGAGAGGGTATGTCTTCGCGTCAATACACATCTCATCCACTGTTTGGACAGACATTCATATCTGAAGCTGTCTTTCAGTGACAGATAAGACAACACGAGTCCACACAAGTCATCACCCAATCTGTCAAACGAGTCCTTCGGATAGTATTCCTCTTGAGTGACATTCATATCATTTGGTGATGTCTTTGACTATAAAATCAAAGCAATAACTCATGAGTTAAAGGCATATTAGTGAACATTTGATTTCTTCACCTCTTTGTGTATGAATTGATGGCAAGTGTTGTCCACTCGTGAGTTGTGGTGACCACAGACTTACCACTAATTAACACATCGATTGTCAATCAGTTTTAATCACAAATCAATTCAAATGTGTTTCAAAACAACAGACTTTTTGATGTGTAGTCAGTCTCCCATAGAAACCAATGTAAGAGTATATTAAAAGGTACTTAAAGTTAATGCATTGAGGTATTAAGTATATCGAAATATTGGGTCTTTTTATGATAGGAATTAAGTTTTCAAATGTTTTAAATCACATTTAGGTTTATAATAGTATTTCGTTATTTAAGTGGATTAAGTTAATTAAGAATTAAATAAATTACTTTTAAAGTTATTAAAATAATCAAGGCAAATTTTATTTATAAAAAATACAGAATCGATTGAAATGCTATTACGAAAACATTTTGAAATTAATGTAAATATTACACATTTATACGATAATTATATAATTAATTAAATCAAAGTTAATTATATATGAATATTTATAAATAAAAACAATTCTAACAAGTTAATAGCAGCAAAAAATAGTTTTAAAAATGCAATAAATGTTTAAATTGTTTACTGATTATACCATTTATTCGGCGCTATATTCTTCAAAATGTGAAATAAATGAAAAGGACTTAAGTTTTGGCAATTTATTCACAGATTCCTCAATACTTGCGCTTCTTTTCAGTATAGTCTCGACATTCAACGTCTGAATGTGTGGTATATGTGTGTGAATTGATTCAAAGAATCTCGCATTCAATACACTATTTAACACTAACGACAAATGTGTTAACCGTTTCAATGGAGACAATGATTTCGGTGTCAATTCAATGCTCTTTTCTTTAGATTCTTCATTTGTAATTAGTCTTAAGCCCAGTCTTTGTAAGCTTTTCATGCTATTAATCGATTCATACAGTTGTCTCACTTGTAGATCAGTTTCACACCAGATTGCCAGTAGATATCTCTTGAGTTGTGGCCATTGTTTGACAAACTCTTTGTAGTGATAGTCAACGATAGACTGAATTGCATCTGAATTATATAAACATGTTATTTGAATCTTAAGCTCTCGTAATGCTTTCATTTGAGACAACAGTTTCAATACACGAATATATTCTTCAGCAGACAATCTATTAATAAAAATGAATTCAAAAGACTTTAAGCTATTCTTATAGTATTTAACAAATGCTTTCAATCGCTGCCAATCAGAGTCGCTGTAAAATAAATGAATTTTTGTCAAATTCTTTACTAATATCTCGTTGTTTTCGGTGACAATTGCTGACAATAGCCTGGAATAACCGGATAATTGTCTGAGTTTTGTATAAAATTTTGAATGAGATTTAAATATTTCATAACCAGCTGTAGGTATAGCTATTTTCGTGAATAGTGAGCCATATTTGGCCAAAATTCTGTCCATTATTTG